TTGTTTTTATCAGGAAAGTTCAAACAAATTCATTTTTTTTGTCTGTTTTCCTATTTTTAGCTCACTGCTATATCCCAACTAGTTTGAATATTGCCCAACACATAGTAGGTGCTCAATAAATATTTGTCACATGAATGAATGAATCACCCCTATTTGTTTCCTATCAGAAAATACGTAATTAGGGCCGGCCCGTGGCTCACTCGGTAGAGTGCGGTGCTCATAACACCAAGGCCACGGGTTCGGATCCTATATAGGGATGGCCGGTTTGCTCACTAGCTGAGCGTGGTGCTGACAACACCAAGCCAAGGGTTGAGATCCCCTTACCGGTCATCCTTTTAAAAAAAAAAAAAAGAAAAAAAAAAAAGAAAATACGTAATTAATATGCTTGTTTGCTTGCTTAATGTTCTACCTTCCTCATTAGATGCTAAGCTACAGGAGGAAGAAAAACTTCCCATCTCGTATCCCTGGCCTTTACATGTATGAAGCATTTAAAAAAATGGTTTCAAAGGACCACAGATCAAGACAGTTTTCTTAGGGAGGGGTTGAGGAAGGGGCTTCTACCATCCCCACTCCCTCCCCTTTGGTCTAGGGGGTTAGGGTGTGTGGGATGTCTCTTACCGAGGCAGGATGAGCAGGAGGCAGATGAGGCCAATGACAAAGACCGAGCACAGGTAGGTGACCGCCAGGAGAGGACGAGGTGGGTAGAACCCGTAGAAGAGAGGGGACCACTCTAGGTAACCCTAAGCGGGAAAAGACAGAACAGGGGTCACTGTGGGATGGGTGCATGTGCGGTTCAGGGAGCTGGGCAGTCAGGGTATGGGGGTCAGGGTTTGAGATGCAGGTCATTGAGGGCAACACATCTCAAAGGTGAGCTGGCCAGTTAGCTCAGTTGGTAGAGTGTGGTGCTGACAAAACGAAGGTCAAGATTTCAGAACCCCCCACTAGCCAGCCACCAAAAAAATAAAAAATAAAAAAATGTGGGTGGGGGAATCTCCAGGCACTCACCTTTCCCGTGAGCAAGTTGAAGATCTGGGTGGGGTAGGTGACCAGGCCCTGGGAGTGGAGATTATAAGAGCCACAGGGTGACGAAGAGTTGGAGACAGGAGGCCCTGGGGGAGCCCCTTCCAACCAGGTGGGCAGCAGCATCATGCAGACATTAACCACAGAGGCCAGCACATTGAGAAGCAGCAGGAAGCGCAGAAGTGAGAAGTAGGACTCTGTACCAGCACCAAACTGGCCTGCGGCGGGCAGAAAGGGAGAGGCCTCAGGGTCCTTCCTGAGTGTAGCTCCCAGCCCCTCCTACCCCTCAGACCCAGGGATCTTCATCCCCAGCCCTTTCCTACCTCTGACCCGAGTCTAGGCCCCACCCCCAGGACTCCAGCCCCAACCCCACTGCACCCCCAATCCTCTTCAGTGTCCATGCCCAGGGCTGCAGGTTGCCCAAGTCTTCCCTCATCTTCTCCTTGGACCTCCGAAGCCACCGGGCCCAGTGGGCCCCCTTAGATCTGGAGCCGTGGGCCATTTGGTCCCTGGCATGGCTCTGCCTGGGAGGGGAAACAGAGTCAGTCAGAGACAGAAAATGAAAGGCTTAGCAGCCCCAAACTGGGAACCACCCAAATATAGAAACAATTCAGCAGCAGAATGGGGAAGTAAACTGTGGTATACAGTGTTCATAACATGGAATACTCCGCAGCAAGAAACAAACAAATCCACTGCTATGCAGAAGCAGCTAGACAGAAAAGAATAAAGACTACGTGCTTCTAATTTACACAAAGTTCCAGAGCAAGCACAATGAAACACTACTCTTGAGGGATGCACACAGAGGTGGCAAGGCCATAAGGAAAAGCAAGGACGCTATTATTGTAAATGTCAGGGAAGGAGTTACCTTGTGGGGAGAAAGGAAAGTGTGTTGTGGCTCTTGCCCTTGCTGGAGTTTACCTGGGCTCTCGCTTTATTAATGCAGTGGTCCCTCAGCATCCCTGGAGGATTGCTTCCAGCACCCCCGCAGATACCAAAATCCTCGGATGCTCAAGTCTCTTATATAAAATGATGCAGTATTTGCTTATAATCTATGCACATCTTCCTGTATACTTTGTCATCTCTAGATTACTTATAACATCTAATAAAATGTAAATACTATGTAGGGCCGGCCCGGTGGCGCACTGCTACAGTGCGCCGCTTGGGAGTGCGGCGGCGCTCCCGCCGAGGGTTCGGATCCCACATACAGACCAGTTCCTGCTCACTGGCTGAGTGAGGTGTGGGCGCAGCACTGAGGGTTGCGATCTCGTTGCCGGTCCCGGTCCGGGCGCGACACTGAGGGTTGCAATCCGTTGCCGGACACGAAAAAAAAAGAAAATGATTTTGGGCCGGCCCCATAGAAGATGTTTCAGGGGGGCCGGCCCGTGGCTGATAACACCAAGGCCGCGGGTTCGGATCCCATATAGGATGGCCGGTTCGCTCACTGGCTGAGCGTGGTGCTGACAACACCAAGCCAAGGGTTGAGATCCCCTTACCGGTCATCTTTTTAAAAAATAAAAAATAAAAAAAAAATAAAATGTAAATACTATGTAAATAGTTGTTATGCTGTATTATTTTTTATTTGCATTATTTTCATTGCTATATCATTATTATTATTATTTTTTTTCCCAAGTATTTTCAATCCGTGGTTGGTTGAATCCACGAATGCAAAAACTGGGGATATGGAGGAGGGCCGACTGCACTCTCTAAATGCGTACATTGTGTTTCATGCAATTTTCTGTAGGCAAATATATCATGATAAAGTTAAAAAAAAAAATTTAAAAAGCAGAGGAAAAAAAGGAAGGGAGGGAGAGAAAAAGGAAGGAAGCAAGGGCCAGCCTCACGCGCTGCCTGAGCAGCCACAGGCCTCACTCCCAGGAGGGCCTCAAGCTTGGGTGAATGCTCTGCTCTTGCTGTCTTGAAATGTGTGATGATTTTTGAACAAGAGGCCCAGCATTTTCTTTTTTCGGTGCACCCTGCAAATTTTGTAGAGGGACAGATGAAAGAAAGAAGTAAAAGGAAGACAGGCTCTGAAGAGAAGGCAGGGATAAAGAAAGACATAAGGCAGAGAGGAAGTAGATAATAACAGATTTCAGACTCAGAGAGAAACAGTGAGAGGCAGAGACAGACTTGGAGGGAGAAGAGAGACAAGGGAGAGTGAACCTGGGAGAGAGGAGAGTCCCACTAAAGCCATAAAGACAGGACACGCAGTGGAGTAGAGGCAAAGACAGGAGAAAAAAAGAGAAGCAGCCCTGAGACAGGTCAGAGAGAGAAACAAGGAGAGACTGAGCTGTGAGAAGTGGACAAAACCCCACACGTGGGCTAGATGGCCCAGGCCGCAGGGCACCGGAGGTTCCGACCGGGAGGTGGGGCCCTCACCTGTATGCCCGTCTGGCCTGCATGGGCCAGGGCAGTTCCCGGAAAGGGTGAGGTTCCTGCAGCTCTTTTAGGGCAGCTTCTGCGAAAGCCTGGATACTCCTCCCATTCTCCTCCTCCTCCTCCTGTGCCCCCCAAGGCAGGACCCCAGGGCCTCGGTACCGAAGGGTAGCAGCACTTGGGAGCTCGTTTAGCACAGAGGACAACGATGGGCCTAGGCGGGAAGGCAGAGGGCTGGAAATACCCAGAGTCCAGAACCATAGCCCCCTCCTTCCTCAGACCCAGCAGTCCAATCCCCCAGCCCCTCCTCCCTCAGACCCAGCAGTCCAACCCCCCAGCCCCTCCTCCCTCAGACCCAGCAGTCCGACCCCCCAGCCCCTCCAACCTCAGACCCAGCAGTCCGACCCCCCAGCCCCTCCAACCTCAGACCCAGCAGTCCGACCCCCCAGCCCCTCCAACCTCAGACCCAGCAGTCCGACCCCCCAGCCCCTCCAACCTCAGACCCAGCAGTCCGACCCCCCAGCCCCTCCAACCTCAGACCCAGCAGTCCGACCCCCCAGCCCCTCCAACCTCAGACCCAGCAGTCCGACCCCCCAGCCCCTCCAACCTCAGACCCAGCAGTCCGACCCCCCAGCCCCTCCAACCTCAGACCCAGCAGTCCGACCCCCCAGCCCCTCCAACCTCAGACCCAGCAGTCCGACCCCCCAGCCCCTCCTCCCTCAGACCCAGCAGTCCGACCCCCCAGCCCCTCCAACCTCAGACCCAGCAGTCCGACCCCCCAGCCCCTCCTCCCTCAGACCCAGCAGTCCAACCCGAGTCCACAGCCTCTACTCTTGAACCCAGGAGTCCAGACCCCCAGACATCATCTGCAAAGATCAAGTGTGGACACCCGCAGGCGCCTTTACCCCGGGACTGAGGAGTCCAGGCTTCAACTTCCTTTTCACTCTTATTCAGGAGCTTGGGACCCGGCCCCTCCCATTCCTGAGACATTCATGTCCCAGTCCCTAGCCCTCTCCTCCTCCAAGACTAGAGTCTGGTTCTCCAGACTCCTCCTCCTCAGACCCAGGACTTCCAGCCTCTAGCTCCCTTCTCCGCCATAAACTCAAGAAACCCTTCCCCTTTCAGTCCTCAGGACCCAGGAGTCCAGGCCTCCACTAGCCTCCTCCCTCAGGACTTCCACCCAGCCTGAAGGTTGGATGAATCTGAACTCCCTCTGGCTCCCCCACCTCCTCTGGCCTCCCGGGGGGCCAGGAAGCCCTCAGAGGAGCCCCAGACTTCAGATTCGCAAGTCGAGCGTTCTTCCATGGCCCCAGATGCGGCTGTTTCCGTCTCTGGTGGCCAGCTGGGTGGGGACTGCCCCAGGTAAGGGAGGGGCTTGGAGCAGGTGCTCCCTGGCCACCAGGTGGCCTGGAGGGAATAGTGTACACTTCCCATAAGCCCTCATGGCCACTGCTCCAAAGGTCTCCTGGGAACTGAAGTTCACATGGTGTCCTGAGCATGCCAGTTTGGTTTTTGGGGGCTGGGGCAGCAGCACATCATATTGGGACTTGGTGACCTAAGTGTCCCCCATTGTTTATCACCCACAGATACTCGCACATACACCGATGTCTTTGTGCAACACTTTATTGGGAAAGATTTACACATTCTGTCTTAGGCCAAGGGACAAGAGGGTGACAGGAGCATTGGGGCCCTGAGGTGGCTCAGATGGAAGGTGCAAGAACGGCAGTCCCCAAGCCTGCTCATATGTACCTCAGTTTCCCCTTTATGAAATGGGAAGGTTATGTTCCCTTCCAAGTCTGGAATACAGATTTCATGAGATACAAGTGGAGAGAAAGATACAAGAAAAAGGTTTTCCACTCCCACAACCCAGCCCTGAAGCTCCTACCCACCCACTGTGGATCCAAAGGGAATTTGCCTAAGAAGCCACTCTGTCCATTGGCCTCTGTCATTTTGGGGAAGCGCAGCTCTTCTGAAACATCCAGAAGCTGGAGCAGAAACAAAGGGAGATTCTTGTCTGGACAATACCTTGATTTTAGAGGAGGGGTAAGTGGCTTCCTGGAGGCCCCAGGGCAGTGGACCAGGAAGCAGGGAGAACTCGGGGAGGTGGCACCCCCAGCTTTGCTTCAATTGGAGGCAGGTATTTAGCTGGGGAAAAGGGAATCCTCTCCAGGCCCCTAGCCAAATTAAGGACTCTTTCTGGGAAAGGAGACAGCAGCCTGGTTCAAAGAATTCCCAGACAAAAGCTTGGTGGCTGGACCAGTTGGCAAAGAGCACTGGGGCAGCTTACTCCTCCCGGAGCTTTTCTGGGGCAAGGTTGGTGGCCTGCAATGCCGTCTTCCGCCGGCTAGGGCTGCCCCCACCCAAAGCCAGCCCCAGCCCGAGGGCTGCCAGGGCCAGAAAGTGGATGCAGAAGTAGACGGAGGCCCAATACCGGAGAGTGTCACCCATTGAGAGGAGCACAAAGCCCATGCACATGTAGTCATAGGCTCGCATCTTCAGGAACCAGTGCACCCAGTCCCAGGCCTTCTGTCCCTCGGGGCTCAGCCGCCCCCGCAGGGCTGACTCCAACCGGCCCTCAGCGGCCAGGCACAGCGGGATGGTCAGGAAGCTTAGGTAGTAGCCAGGGTGGAGGCCGTGCCAGTAGGCACTCAGCAGCATAGTCCAGGCGCTCCTGCGGGAGGGGGGCTGGGAATCAGGACCTGAAAGTCCAGGTTCTCAGTCCCCACTGTCCCCAGACCCAGAAGTCCAGGCCCCCCACCCTCCTCCCTCAGATCCAGAAGTCCTCTCCCATAGCTCCTGAAGGCTGAGGAGGCTATGGGCTCTGCCTCCTTCAGGGATTTAGGAGCCCCCAGACCCCCATCCAGACCCCAGCAATCCTAACCATGGCCTTCTCCTCTTTTAAAGATATAAAGTTCCACAGCCCTTACTCCTTCAGAATCAAGAAGTCTGATTCCTTAGCCCACTGGTTCTCAAACTGTGGACTCAGCATCACCTGAGAGCTTGTTAGATATACAAATTCTTGGACCCCACCCCACCCCAGCCACTTCAGAAACCCTGGGTGTGGGGCCCAGAAGAAATTTTTGATGCAACAAGTCCTCTAGGTGATTCTGATGCATGCTAACATTTGAGAACAACTGCCTTAGTCCATGAAGACCCAGAAGTCTCCGGTCTGTTTCTTATTCTGGGTCCCAGGAGTTCTTTTCCTCTCCCCTTAAGGCCTAAGCCATCTTTTCTCACTCTTGAGGAAAACCACGAAGCCAATGGTCTCTGCCTCTCTCAGGAAACCAGGAGTCTTCTGCTGCCCACCCCTCTGTATAACCTAGGTCCTGCCTTCCTTCAAGAACCCAGGATTTCAGAAGCCCGTTCCCCTTCTTCTCTCAGGACCCAAGAGACTCTACTCCTCTCTTTTCAAGAACCCAGTTCTGCCCCTCCCACCCCACCCCTTTCCCTCAGGATCCAGGAACCCGAGCTCCCAGCCTCTTTCCCTTAGGGATCCAGGGTCCAGATTCCTGACCCACAAAGACTCAGAAATCTCCAGCCATGTCCTTTCCTCCTTTTTAGGTTTGGTCCCCTCTCCTTATGCACCTAGAAATCCAAATCCTTACCTCTTGCAGACCCACAAACTCAGGCTCTGATCACCTCTTCCATGGGGGACACAGAAATCATTCTCTACCCCACTTTCCAACTGTGTATTTATCAGCAGGTTTGCTAGGGACTGTGACTTGGGGGGTTTCTTTCCTGCCCATGGCACTGACTTGTCCCTTTGGCACACCTCAGTGCTTGAAGTACAGAAATAACTTAATGGCAGAATAATGCTGACCACCCTGTCCTTGGCAGGTGTAAGGTAAACAAAAAAGTTGAATCTTGTATATCCTAGGATGTTTAGGAGCATCCCTGGCCTCCACCCACTAGATGCCAGTAGCACCTCCCAGTTATGAGAAAAATGTCCCAGACATTGCTAAATGCCCACTGAGGGAGCGGCACAATCACCCCCAGTTGAAAACCACTGGTCTAAACATTAGGGTGCCCTGAGCCTTAGCCCCAGAGCTTTAACTATCATCTATACTGGATGACACTGAAGTATCCACTACTTTTTTTTTTTTTTTTTTTTTTTTTTTTTTTTTTCCCTGTCTGGCAACGGATCGCAACCCTCAGTGTCGCCCCCGTACCGTACCGGGACCGGCAACGGGATCGCAACCCATGGTGTTGCTCCCGTGCCTCGCTCAGCCAGTGAGCGGGAACCGGTCTGTATGTGGGATCCGAACCCTCAGCGGGAGCGCCACCACACTCCCAAGTGGCGCACTACAGCAGTGCGCCACCGGGCCGGCCCCACACTACTTTTTTTTTTAAAGATGACCAGTAAGGGGATCTTAACCCTTAGCTTGTTGTCAGCACCACGCTCAGCCTGTGAGCTAACCGGCCATCCCTATATAGGATCCGAACCCGTGGCCTTGGTGTTATCAGCACCGCACTCTCCTGAGTGAGCCATGGGCCGGCCCCCGAAGTATCCACTTCTAACATCAATCTTTCCCCTGCCTTTTTTTTGGCGGCTGGCCAGTATGGGGATCCAAAACCATGACCTTGGTGTTATAAGGTTGTGCTCTAACCAAATGAGCTAACCAGCCAGCCTCAGCCTTTCCTTTAAGTGCCAGAATCACGTAACTTACTGCCTATCCAATAACCCAAGATGAAAATCTAATAGTCACCTCAAAGTTAATGCAACTAAACCCAAGTCTTGCTTCCTCATCCTATCTACTCCCAAAACTTTCTCCTGCCAGGTTCTCCCCGTCTCAGGAAATGGCACTTCCATTCCGTCAGTCACTGACACCCATAACCTGGAAATCTTGTTTCATTTCCTCTCTCTCTCATGCCTGAATTTCAGATCACCCCAAGCCCTGACTCTCCCTCTCAAATTCTTCCACTTCTGGGCCACTGTTCCCTACTACAGGACTCCATCACCGCCCACCTGGAGAGCACCGAAGACCTCGAAATTTGTCTCTCTGCCCTACCTCCTGCTCCTTCTCCCATCTCTATTCCATTCTCTACACAAGGCCAGAGTGGATTCATTCATTTATTTGTTTGGCAGCTGGCCAGTACAGGATTGAACCCTCACAGTGGATCTTTAATCATAAATGAGATCGCACACCCATGTAAGTCTAGCTCTAGAGTTGCCATCATTATTAAAGTTAATATATGGTGAGCATTCCCCCATTAGACCTCACATTAAGTACATTTCACACTTTATCTCACTTAATCCTCCTATCAGCCTATGAAACAGGTAACAGCATTATCCCCATTTCACAGCTGAGGAAACTGAGAGGTCAACTAATTCTCGAAGGTTTCTCAGTAACCTGCAGGGCCACGATTCCAGAAAGTCTGGCTACTGACTCGGTACACTGCTTTTGTCCAATGAAGCTGAATTTACAGAAGTAGAAACTGAGGCCCAGAGAGGCAGAGCGATTTACCCTAGAGTAATGCCGGTAATCAGAAGCAGGGAAACAGGCTCAAGAAACTACAACTCCCATGGTTGTCAGGGAGCAGGGGCCCTGCCTGGGACGATGTGGGCTACCCCAAGGACTGCTGGGAGATGTAATTCTGCAATATCCTCCGAGTCTGGGCAGGGCTCACTTACCTCAGGACATAGGAGCGAGCAGGTGCACTCTTGTAGATATACTGTGCCAGCCACCACTGCACCGTCATGTTCCAGTACCTCATACCATCCCGCACCCGCACACAGAAGTCTGTGCTGTAGCAGTCGATGTTACGGATGGTCTCATAGTCGTACTCCAGGGAAGCCGCCTTCTCCGGACTGGTGGGGTGGAGGATGAGGGTAGGGGACAGACATGCAGCTCAGCCAGGCCCCCTCCCAACGTCTGCTACTGTCCCAGCCCCAGATGCTAAGGAAGCGATTCTGGCCTGGCAACAGCTCTCTGGCTTTCAGACTTGCTAGAACAATGGGATGGTAGCCCAGAGGGAGACTTTGGGAGAGGGAAGTGGGTGGGCTGCAGAGCACAGTTCACCAACAATGGGGTTCTCTTCTCTTGGTAACTAACAGGGCACCACAGCCATGAAAAGCTTTGAGGGGCTATGGCTGCTAAGCTATGAGTCCTTTAGCAACCAAGCTCAGTATATTCAGAGAAGCCTCCAGGTATGGTCCCTACGCCGGACACTGTGGTTGCTAGGGAAGTAAGTATCATCTGTAAAAGCAAGGTGATTCCTAGTTGCTAGGGATATGTTCTAGGCCCGCCTGATGTCCCAGTGATTTCTGTTGCTAGGAAAAGGCATTCCTTAGCAACGAGGCCTAAGATGTGTAGAAAAGCGTCTAGAAAGGGCCTTTTTTCCTAGTCTCTGTGATTGTCTGAGAAGTGTCACCTCCAGCAATAGACTGGTGCCCAGGACACTGGCACCAACAGCCCCAGAAGTGGGGTATGTCCTTGGCTTACCTGAACTCTCCTTCTGACAGGAGGTGAGCCATCCTTTAGGAGTGGGGGTCTAGCAGACTTAGAAAAGTCTTCATTCCTGACTTTTTGGGGGGATGTCCACTTTAAAAACTGGAGGTCAGGCCACGGTTATAGGACAGTGGTAATAAATTCATGTGGGAGTAACACTACCCCCACAACAAAGTGGCAGTTTGTGACTACTAGGGTATGGCACAACCCTAGCAAGGAGTAGTTCATAATTTACATCAAAGGGCTGCTCCCCAGCACAGTCCCAGTCCCAGGTGGAAACCTGACTACAGTTGCCAGGAACAGAGGTGCAGTCCATTCTCAGTTGCTAGGGGTGCCATTTCCCTAGCAACATAAGGACAATTCTTCCTCAGCAACAAGACAATCCATAGCTACTAGCAGTGCAACTTAACTAGCAACAAAGGTGCTGCGGTAGGAATACTAGCAACAAGGGTCAATCCATAGTTAGAGGGAGGTCCAGCTTCCTTAGCAACTGCAGGAAGATAACTTGCAGTTGCTAGGAATGGTGTCCACTCCACTGAAGGACAGCACAGTCAGAGATGCTGTTTCCTTAGAAACAGAGGTCAACTAAGGGCTGCTATGTGATGACATCCCATGGGGGTGGGAGGTATGCTGCCTCCTAGCAACAAAGGAGCAGTTCAGAAGGTGCCATTTCCATAGCAACAAAGAGCAAGACTTCTGGCAAGAAGCGGACAACTACTGTAGCTAGAAATCCCCCTTCTCTAGCAAATATGGTCCTTCAGTTGCTATGGGGCCATCTTCCTAGAAACAGAGGCTGACCTACTACAAAAGGATGGTATCCTGAGTAACCATGAACAATTTAGTTCTTGGGGTGACATTTCCACAGCAACAGAGGGGTGGCACATTGTTGCTAAGATACAACCTTCCTTTTCTTAGCTACTGAGGGCAATTCACCATATCAAAGGGTGAGGAGCGCTGGTAACAAGGGGCAATCTATAGGTACCAGGAATACTGTTCCCTACCGACAAGGGAAGGCAGGCCGTGGTTGCCATGGGGCGACAGTTTGCTAACAGGTGGTGGCCCTGACCCCCTGTTTCCCGTTCTCCTCCCTGCTAGGGGCAGGGCCAGCCCTTGGTGATGGAGCCTGCTGGGTCTTGGCAAGCTTCCCTCCCACCACCTGACCTGCTGGGGGGTGGGCATTGGAGGGTGGGGCCACCCCCGGCCCGGGCTTTGGCGGCCACAGGGTAGGCCCCAAAGCCAGCGGCAATGCAGCCGCACTCGGCAGCAATCCAGGCCACGTAGAAGCGCATGCGGAAGGCGAAGAAGACGGGGATCATGTAGAAGAGGCGGGCGGGCAGCGGGCGGGCGTAGAAGGCGTCCTCGCGCACGGCCTCCAGCGGGAAGAGGTGGGAGGACAGCAGGAAGAGCAGGCCAAAGAGCGGGGCCGGCCAGGCCCGGCGCAACAGGGGCCGCAGGCTGGGCACGGCCCCCGGGAAGGGCTGCTCCAGCCAGTCCAGGTACGTGCGGTAGCGGAAGAACGGGCCTGTGGAGGCGGGGACGGAGGGGAAGGTGGTCAGAGGCTGGTACCGAGGGGGAGGAGGGCAGAGCTCAAGTCTGGAGAAGGAGGAAAGGGGCCAGACACGTGGAAGCAGAAGTGGGAGGAGAGAGGATTAGAGGCGTAGAGAGAGAAAGACAGACTGACAGACTGGGGGTGGGAGACCCGGAGGGGAGGGGCCAGAGACCCAGAGAGATGGGGATGGAACCAAAATCAGGGGAGAACAAGGGACTCAGAAACAAACAGAGACAAAAAATTAAATAGAGAGGGGCAAAGATACCGAGAAGAGGGGAACTGAGATTTGGAGACAGGTGGGAACAGACAGACAAGACCCCGAGAGATGGGGGTGACCTCCACATAAACGAGACACAGAAAGTAGAGCAGTGCTTCTGCAGAGAAGAGTGGTGTGGGGGGAAATCAGAGGGCGCAGGGGCGGGATCCTCAAGGCCTTGTTGGCTTAAGGAAGACTCTTGATTTTGTTCTAAATGCAAAACAAAACCACTGCAGGCTTCTTCAACAGGGAAGTACTGGACACCATTTACCTTTTCTGGCTGCCAAGCAGGGCTTGGATTACAGAGGGACGATAACGAAAAATAGGAGACAGCTGCAACACTTCATTAGCCCACACTCTAACCAACTGAGCTAACTGGCCAGCCCAAGTTGCAGCACTTTGGATATGATGGTGGCCTGCCTAGAAAGGGAGCAGTGGGGACTAACAGAAAGGACAGGTGTTAAAACCTTTATATGCTTGCAAAAGACCACATGTTGTATGATTCCACTTATAAGAAATGTCCAGAACAGGAAAATCTATAGAGACAGAAAGTCAATTAGTTATTTCCAGGAATGAATGGAGGTTTGGCAGGTGATGGCTACAAGGTACAGGGTTTCTTTTCAGGGTGATGAAATTGTTCTGTAAAAAAACTACATGGTGGTGATGATTGCACAACTCTGTGGATATACTAAAAACCAGTGAATTAATATGTAAATTATAGCTCCCTAAAGCTGTTGTACAAAAGAAAACTTTTTATGAAATGAATGTTAATGAAAAATATTTTTTTAACTGAAAATGGATCCTAAGCTGTGAATATTTGTTCCCCAGGCAGCAGAAACATCAGGTTTACATAGACCTGTCTCCTTTACCTCTCCTATTTGCTCCCAGTAAGCTAAAAGGAGAAAAGCAAGGAATCATTTAGGTGGAAAATAGCTTCTAACCTGAAAGAGCTCTGGTCCGGTGGGAAAGTCAGATGTAGACTCAGACGTAGGTGCTCACCGTCAGAGCAGCAAATACTACAATGGAGGTAGCAGGGCAGGGGAGAACACAGAACAGGCACCAAACTGAGGGTGGAGAGTGGGGACTGAGAGTGACAGAGATGCAGAGAGGTAGACCTGATGGGGAAGGCTCACTCACCTGTCATGATTCCCACATAGCAGTAGCTGTAGCTGAGCGTCTCCATCAGGGAGGGAACCTCGGGCAGCAGCCCCAGGGTGGGGCCCTTGCTGAAGCCTGAGGCCATTTCCTTCCGCTGGGCCAGGTGCAGGTCCTGGACTTCACTGGCCAGACTCACCAGCTGGGAGAAGGGGGTGAGTAGGGGACCAAGTCAGACCTTGGGCCCCTCCTGGTACCCATCTCCCTTATGCTACCACTCTCAGCAGCCAAGGGGTACTGGGAGCCTGAATCTGGGAGCTGAAGTCCCACTCCATGGGCAGTTCTGAGCATCCAGAGTCATGTGTAATACTTCTAGCTGGCAGGCGTTCCCCAGGGCTCAGTCCTGGGACCTCCTGCCTTTTGTCTCTATGTTCCGTCCTTACATGCTCTTAGGCAATCCTGTAGCTTTAGACACCACCCACATGCTGATGACTCTCAAACTCTACCTCTCGTGTGGACCTCTCCCTTGAATCCCAGACCTATCCATCAAGTTGCATACTGTCATTTATATTCGGATGTCTTCCAGGCACCTCAAATTTAACACATCCAAAACGGAACACAATATTACCTAATCTCCAAAGCAGACCATCTTCTAGTCTCTCCCATTAGAGAAATGCCACCACCATCCAGTTAATTGCTCAGGCAGAAACCTTCTTTGCTCCTCACATCCACTCCCTTAAGTCTCTCCAGCCTGTCCCCTTCTTTCTGCCTCCAGTACTAGACTGAATATGTTCTACCTGCCCCTCCAGATCTACTCTCTACCCTTTTTCACTCAAACTCAAGGCTGGCTCTACTTCAACAGGTCTCTGTGTCTTCCAGCTTCCTGCTGGGTCCAGTCAGTAGAGAGTACCAGCCAGAGACGGAAGAAGGCAAGAGTGAGGGCGGGGTTTTTATCCCCTTGTGAGATTACTTTAAGCTGTTGGTGACCCTGGATAGATTGTCCAAGGTGGGTGGCTCCATGCAACCCTTTTTCCTTCCAGGCTCCAGGACCTGCCCCTCTTCTCTTCCCCCTGGGCCCAGGGTTAACAAGACCTCCCCAGCAGCTGGTCCCGGGTTCCCGCACTATCCCTTCTCCGTCCTCTACATTCTGTCTATACCATTGTGAATAAATACTCCTCAAATTATCCTAAATGTGGTGTTTCCTGTTGGGATTCTGACTGACCTACCGATATCTGACAGCCTACATCAAGCCACCACTGTTGTCACCTGGACTTTGATAGAGGAATGCTATCTCATCACATCCTGACCTGTTCAATTCTCTTCTCACATCCAGAGTGAATATTTTTAAACATGTAAAACTGGTCATGTTTTACATGCTTAGGACTTCTGGCAACAAACCAAAAAACCTCTTCCAGTAGATCTTGGTCCCCCACAGGAAGAAGTCCAAACTCCTCCTGACCGACAAGGCCCCTTGTGGTTTGGACCCTGCTGCCAGTTCCCCTGCATTCTCTGCAGAAAGTCAGTGTGGCTGGCACAGTCTGTGGAACTTAGCCTGCTCCCTTCCACACATGCTGATCCCTTCATCCTGAAATGCTCTTCCTCCAGCTCTTCTCTCAGCTAACCTATTCCTGCCTATCCTTAAGCTCCCACTGAGAACACAGAACACTGAAAAACCTGGTTCACTACCTCATCACTCTTCTGTTCATTGATGTGTCACTGGAACACAGCACATAGTAGCAGCTCATGACTTCGTAAGTCTGTGGTGGGGCCTGGGAGTCTGTTTTCACCCATCTTCCCAGGGGGTTAAGAGCCAGACCTGGGTGTCCTAATTTTGTGCCCTTAACCAAGTACCTTTTCCCCAGAGCTGGTTTTCCTCCTTTGCAAAATGGCTTGTTATACAGATTCAAGGAGAGTATGTTGATAAAGCATCCAGCTCAGCCTCTGGCACACTGCAAGTGCCAAGTGGCGCATACTATTATATTACTTGGGCTATTTCTTTACCCCAGGAAGAGCTGAGTAGCAAAGACCTGCCCAAGGGAATGTGAGTGGTGAACCCTATCCCCAGGGATGTCACTCCCAGGGTGTCAGAGTTTGGGGGAGATAAAATCCTGCCCCCTTCCACCCCCATTGGAGTGGCTGAGAGGAGGAGGTGAAATGGGAGAGGTTAATCTAAAGGGAAGTTGGAGGAAGGTAGCAAGCCCCAAGTCTGACCTTCAGTGTCAGCAGCAGCTGGACGGCATTGGTGAAGGGCGTGGGAGTGGGCAGGCCCAGCAGGCTGAGGGCTCGGAAGAACAGGAGATAGGAGAAGGTCCAGGCTAGAGCCAGGGCATGACAGGAGCTGAGGCAAAGGCAGAAACCCGCTGTACTGGGTGCAGGGATCTGGGCCTCTGCCTCCCTGTCCCCCAGAGTCTAGCCACATACCCTTCCCCACCCTTCCCCGTTCAGCAACAAAAAGTGGGAGGGCAAACAGGACTTGAGGGTGGGAGTTAAGGATGAATGAATATGATTGAAACAGTAGAAGATGAGGTACGGCCACAAAGAAATGCATAGCAACAGGGAAGAGAACAAGGAGGGGTTAAGAGAAGCTTCAAGGTGAAGACCTTTCAATCCTCCATTTTTTTTATTTACAAGATCCAGAGGTCAAGATGGGCTTGGGGGAGGAGGTACAGAATATGAATGGTGCCAGGGCCAACAGACAAGTAACATCCTTCTCTATGACATGGATATAGAAGACTGGGACAAATACACGGTGACAAAATGTAGAAAAAAAAAGGAAAAACAGGTGAAACCAATGACACAGAGAAAGAAGTGATAAACAAGAGACATCCGGAGACTGATGCAGAAACTGAGAAAGACCCAAAGAGGAAACAGTTATTTCTTCCCCTTCTCCTCCCTCCACCAAATTCTTACCAAGGCTGGGCCTGAATGAGGGCCCATGTCCCAAGGATGGTGACCAGAGAATGCAAAGTGTGTGGGCCACAGGTGAACAAGGTGAGCCCCAGGCCCACAGCTGCTGCTCCCCATCGCTTCAGCCCAGGTCCTGCAGGGAGAAGGGATAGCATAATCCTGGAACATTCCAGAGGGTCCCCTGCCCTGGCACCCCCTCCACCCCACCCCACCCGTAATCTTCCACTGGGGAGGGAACCTGACTCACCAGCTTTCTTAAAAAGGAAGCCGATGGGGATGGAGATAAGAAGAACAACTAGATACGTCCATTCTTCTGGCGACATGGTCTGGGGGAGGGACAGGGGTTGGTAGTGAGAACCCAGGAGTGTGTGTGTGGGGGGTGCACTCCCTCCAGCTTCGAGGATTCAGGAATCCAGCCCCTTAATCCTCAGTATTCGAGGATTCTGGAGTCTGAGCCTCGGCTCTAGTGCTTTGAGAACCTAGGAATCCGTGCCTCCAGCCCCTTCCTCCTTCGAGGGTAAAGGCATCCTGCCCCCATACCCCTCCTTTGAAAATCCAGGTCTTCCGTCCTCTTCTTTTTTGGGAGCCCAAGAAACCAGACATTCCAGTCCTTTCCTTCCTGGGGGGCCCCAAAACAAACCCCCTCCCGACTCTTTCCTCTTAAAGGCCAGGAATCAAGACCTCCCAGCCCCCTCCTCCTCTTGAGGATCCAGGTACCTAGCTCCCCTCTTTTGATCCCCCAGCCCCTCCGTCCATGGGAATCCAGATATCCAGACCTTCCAGCCCTTCTTCGAGAGCACTCAAAGGTTGTTGGGCGTCCAATCCCCACCTCTTAAGGAGCTCCGGACTCTCACCTCCCTAGAACCCAGGCAGTGGACTTCCACCCTGGTGTTCTCAGACCCTACCCAGCCCCAGCCCAGTTACGCGCACTTCAGCGCGGGTTCGATCCCACCCCAGGGAAAGCCACAGGCGGTTACGCCACCCCGAGCTCGGCCGCGCTCTCGGTGCCGCCTCCGCACCCCGACAACCCGCAGTGATCCCCGCCACTGTCCGACCCCGTCTCGTCACCGGGGCGTCCCCACCCTGGCCCACCTGAGCCGCCCGCTGGGAAGAAGGCGGAGAAGCACGGCCAGTCCTCCGTCCCCCACGGCTCCCGCCACGCCTCCCCCGCCCAGCACGCCCCCGCGCCGCCTGCTCCTTCGCGGGGGACGGCCGGGCCGTGCGGTTCCGGGCCTGGGCGGCAGCTACAGTCAAGGCTCTGGGGGGAAGGAAGGAGCCCGGCAGCGTGAGCTGGGGAGCATGAGTCCGCGATTGGAACCGGGTCGCGATCCACCGAGAAGGGGGAAGGAGCCGCGAGTACGTGAGGGGGCGGGGCCTGGGCCTCAGGCTCGGAAAAAGGAGGGGCCAGAAGCTTCGGGCCGGAAGGGACGCGAGGCAGGACCCGGTAAGGAGGCGGGCTCTGGAGCTTGGCGTTTGGAACGAGGCGGGGCCTCCGCTTCGGGTTCGGTCGGGCACAGTCGGGAGCTTGAGCTCACAGCTTGCAGGCGGGGCTACAGCTTCGGCTATCTTCGGAGATGCTCAAGAACTTGAGCTCTCCGCTCGGGTGTGGGCGGGGCCACACGCTTGGGCTTAGTTTGTGATAGAGTAGGGTAGAAGTGACCCTCGTTAATGATAGGCGGTGCCAACAGCCTCGCAGAGCATCCACCTGGCGAGGGACGGAGGTGGGACCACAGACTTGGGCAGCACGAAAGAGGCGGTCTCGGGAGCAGTTACAAAGGGGCGGGGCGAAGGCACCCCGACCTAAAGGGGGCGGGACCGTGAGGGGGCCAAGGGGGCTGGACCAGGGTAATGAGCCTCCTATTCCCAAGTCGCAGAGCCGAAGGGGCAGAGGAAGCCGCGGCCAAAACGTCTCCCAAGGGCAGGAAGGAGGGGCTACGGCCCTGCTGGGGGCGGATCCTAGACTCCCCGCTTGGCTGAGGCGGTGGGATGACGAAATTGACGCAGGGGGTCGGCATGTGGCAGGGCGGAGGAGGAAGCTGCGCGTGGCGCGCTACGTAGGGGGTGGCTCTGCCTGGGCCGCGAATTGCTGTTTACAAGGTGACTAGCTGGTTCCATCAGAGGACGGTGGGACATTGTGAAGGCGAGCAAGGACGCGTGCTGAGCGCTCACAAGTGGGGTGAGCCTGCTCCAGCGGAGAACGGACGGCTCCAGCTCAGGAGGCGGGGCCTCCGGCTGGGGGGGTTCGATCGTGGTTCGGGAGCTCCCTAACAGAGGAACGGGGGAGCTCGGAGGGGGCGGAGTCACAGGCTTCGGGATTGAAGGGAGCCGGTGACAACCGAAGGCCGAGCCTCTTTCGCTCGGGAGGGGGCGGGGCTGCAGGTTCGGCAGAGCAAGGGATGCCCAAACGCCGCATTGCCTGTGCTCGGGAGGCGGCGGGTTTCGTACTATTGAAGCCTGACTCAGAGCGAGAAGACCCGAAAGCCGAACCTCGGTGGTTCGGAAATGGGAGGGGCAAGGTCCGAGCTTCTCGAAGAGCGTGTGGCCTCGGCAGCGCCTTGGCCTCAGGAGGTCCGCGTCCCTGACGGGAACACTCGCTGGGGAATACCCGAAGGGAGACCCTCGCTTTGCGATGGGGCGGTGACAAAATGGCCATTTCGAAGGGGACGTGGCGCCGCACTTGCAGCGGTTTCTCTCTAAGGCTGGAAGACGCGATGGCGACTACGGCAGTGTTGGCACAGAGCGGAGCTCCCGCGGCTTGGCGAGGGGCGGGGTCTCGGCGAGCGGCCCCGGGGCCTGGCGGGATCGCCCAGGGTTGGAGCCGGGCGCTCAGGGGGCGGGGCCTGGCCCTGGTGCGGTGCAGGTGGCTACCGCAGCCTGAGCCCCTAGGGGCGGGGCTTCACCGAGACTCTGGGGGCGGTGGGTGCGCCGGGGGTGTCCGGGACGTGCATCTGTTTCCGTGACCGCTTTGCCCCCCGTCTCCCGTAGGAGAATGCTGGTGGTAGAGGTGGCGAATGGCCGCTCCCTGGTGTGGGGGGCAGAGGCGGTGCAGGCGCTGCGGGAGCGCTTGGGCGTGGGGGGCCGCACGGTGGGAGCCTTGCCCCGCGGGCCCCGCCAGAACTCGCGCCTGGGCCTCCCGCTGCTGCTGATGCCCGAAGAGGCGCGGCTCCTGGCTGAGATCGGCGCCGTGACCCTGGTCAGCGCCCCGCGCCCAGATCCCTGTCACCACGACCTGGTAAGGAGGCTGGTGACGAGAACTCCTGGGTCTTGCGAGAGCAGGGACTGAGAGCCCCGGACCCCGGGTCTCTGGGGTGGGGGGTGGGAGGTCCTCGATTTTGGTATAATGTGGGTGTTAGCAGATGGAATCCCTGGATTCAGCCCCTGAAGTTGGGAGGGCCCCGGGAGTCAGGGTTTCTGGCTTCCTAAGGGACTACAAAGCCCGGGTCCTGGGCTTCAGTTAAGTTTACTTCTCAGGCTCTGGCTTCCTTCAAGCGCCAGCAAGATCAGAGCTTCCAGGAGCAAAGCACCTTGGCAACTGAGGCCCGCGAGACCCGTCGTCAGGAGCTTCTAGAAAAGATTGCAGAAGGCCAGGCTGCCAAGAAGCAGAAGCTAGAACAGGATTCAGGGACCAGCCAGGAGACTTCTGGGAGCCGAGCTGCTGGAGAGAATGAAGCCCGTGATTGCCAGGCTTCTGGAGAGCAGGAAGAAACAGGTGAGGGTGGGGTTTGGAATCCAGGGACCAGGAGAAGGAGGGAAGAGAGCTTTGGGTAATTTTGCCTGGGAATCTAGCGCCTGGATCTCCTTGGGGGTGGGAAGACCTTGCTCCTTAGATTCACCAAACTCTTCCCTGCACTTCCCCCAGCCTCCTACTCTCCCCAACCAGGGCCTTCAAATGGGGTGGCTCCCTTGCCCAGATCTGCGCTGCTTGTCCAGCTGGCCACTGCCAGGCCTCGACCCGTCAAGGCTAAGCCCCTGGACTGGCGTGTCCAGTCCAAAGACTGGCCCCATGCTGGCCGTCCTGCCCATGAGCTGCGCTACAGCATCTACAAAGACCTGTGGGAGCGAGGCTTCTTCCTCAGTGCCGCTGGCAAGTTCGGGGGTGACTTCCTGGTCTATCCCGGTGAGTTTGGGTTGGCACCTCTGGTTGCTGCGCCTTTACTCACAATCCCAACATGTTCTGCATTTTTCTATTTTGTCTCATTTTCTCTTAGCCTCTGAAATCCACAGAAGGACAGGAAACATTTGAGAGCTCCCGAGCTCATTTAGAGGGCAGTTTAGTAACTTTGATTGAATACTTCCTTTGATCCAGAAGATTCACTTAGAAATAGCCACACATGTGAGCAAAACATACAAGACTGTTCATTGCAGGATTTTTTACAATACTGAAGTTGAAAAGTTTGGAACCAGCCAAAATGAATATTAATAGGTTAGTAGGTAAACCTAGCAGTTGTCAGAGAAACATATTATTAGTTATCAGAGATCAATATGGGTCCATGTATATTTATGAAAAACATAGCCAAAGGGGGAAAAAAAGAACAGGTGGTAGAAATCGTATATGGTAAGAAGTAAATTGTTAGTTTCTATGGATGTGCAGATTCATACATATCATTTATTTATTTTTCTTTTTTCTTTTTTTTATTTCTTTAGTTATAAGGACTTTGTTTACTTTGCTCTTTATACCATATAGTGATTTGGGTTTTTTGTTTCATTTGCTGGCTGGTACATATTTAAAGTCACCTTAAAAATTGTGACAGGCTGGCTAGTTAGCTCGGTTGGTTAGAGCATGGTGCTAGTAACACCAAGGTCCAGGGTTCCATCCCTATGGACACACACCAAAAAAGTAATTAGATAAATAAATAATAAACATGAGTTTGCTCTCTATTAAAAAAAAGTTGTGGCGGGCCAGCCTGTGGCTCACTCGGGAGAGTGCAGTGCTGATAACACCAAGGCCACGGGTTCGGATCCCATATAGGGATGGCCGGTTTGCTCACTGGGGTGAGCATGGTGCTGACAACAGCAAGTCAAGGGTTAAGATCCCCTTACCGGTCATCTTTAAAAAAAAATAAATAAAAAAAAAAAAAATAAAACAAGTTGTGGCTCTAATGAAAGAATATGAAAAGAACTTAAGGTGGACTTTTAAACAGATTAAGAGAATTCTGTTAAGCAAGTAGAAAAAAGATGTACACCAGTCCAACAGAGTGGTTATTATTTTGAGAGGGAATTTGCATCAGGAATAGGTAAAGAAGGTTTTTGTTGAGTCAGGTAATTTTTGAATTTGTAGCAAGGGTGCCTTTATTGTGTAATTAAAAGTTTTCTTTAAATCTGCAGAAAATTACCCTCCCTGTTCCCCCTAAGAACGTGGAAAGGTAGAACCACCTGCTAAGTAGTCAGATCATAGGTAGGCATTGGGTACTGTTCATTAAATCTGAGGACGAGCTGAGAGCCATAGTTTATTCTCAGACTAAAAGCTTAAGTAACTGATTTAGGAGTAGAGAGCAGTGTACTTGCCCCTAAACCCATAATCCCATTCTCCACGGATAACCACAGTTTGATTACCTACCTTCTGTTTATTTTTATTTTTTGGGTGACTTTAGTTTTTGAAAATGAGTATTTAATTATTAAACATACAAAAGCAAGTATCTAGTTATTTAGTTCTTCTACAAGCTTCAGTTGGAAGTACAGATCTTTTTTCCAATCTAGAAGATTTTCTTTTTTGGCAGCTGGCCAGTAAGGGGATCTGAACCTTTGACTTTGGTGATGTAACACCGCCTTCTAACCAAGTGAGCTTACCAGCCAGCTGGCCAATCTACCAAATTTTAAGGAGACCGTTAGTTCATATTTTATCCCACTTGCAAAAGTAGTTAAGTAGTTTTAAATATTATAAACTGCATTTTAAAATTTAATACATTTATTTTCCTTTTTCAGTTCTGTGGTTTTGTGATTATGGAACTTGCCTAGTAACTTAAACCTAATAACTTGTAAATGGGGTGAATTTTAAGTTCTCTTAGGTGTTCTAACACTGCTTATAGACTTACTAAAACTTTAGGTTAAAATAGCAATTTTAAGTCAGTCAATTACTCAGTCATACATTTCAAACTGAACCACAGGCTGACTTGTTTTAGTAGGTCAGTATTTCTAAAACAATAAATAGCCAATATACTAGATGTTAGTGTTCAAGGTCTGAATCTCTTAAATGTTTTTAAGCCTGTTTGCTAAATCTTCCTGAAGTTAAAAGATACTATGCCTCCAAGAAAACGGTTCTGGGGTTAACTTAAGCATTCTGATGCTCCCTTCTCACCTGGCTGAGGTGTAATAACAACAAAAGAGGTGCCTGCCTCCTGGCCAGGTAGGTTTTTGCTGGAAATCCATCCCCCGGACTGGGCCTTGTATAGTTAATATGGCAGTCCCCTCTGATAGGATGTCTCACAGCTTTCCCTTTTAGATTTACATTACCTGTTAGTTAATCTTCTGTTTAGTACCCTACTCACATTCCTATTTTATTTGTTTGGATTTATCTAATCCAGGGGGGGCAAACTACAGCCCCTGGTCAAATCCAGCCTACCAACTAGTGTTGTAAATAAAGTTTTATTGGAGCACAGCCCTGCCCATTCATTGACATATAGATATGGCTGTTCCTGTGCTACATGGCAGAGCTTAGTATTTACAACATGGCACACAAAACTGAAAATATTTTTTATCTGACCCTTTTCAGAAAGATTTTGTTGACCCCTCATCCCATCTATTTATTGCCCCATCCTACTGTAGAATCTTTTCTTCTTTAAGTCCATTAGAGTAACTTCTCAGTGGATATTTACGTGAAATCTTTTCAGTTCCTCATGGCTTTGACTGACTTTGTGGTCCTGGTTCTTAGGCCACAACAATGACATATTCAGTTATTTGTTTGTTATAAAAATAATGCTGTATATGTGTGATATTGTTCTCCTCTTTTACCGCTTCAATGTATCATTTAATCTTGATAGTTGTATAATATTCAGTCTTATGGATGTATTATGAATTTAAACTGGGTGTGGTTTGTGTGTTTCCATTTATTAGCAATTAGTGAATGACAAAGTGAGCATCTTTATAGGTACATTTTAGTGCCACTGTACTTGTAAGAAAAAAATTCCTGGAAATGGAATAGCTGGGTCCAAGGGTGTCTATTTTAAAATATTCACAGAGATTGCTGAAATGATCTCACATCTCCTCCTGATGGGCTTTCCAGTGTCTTCCAGCTCTCTGCCATTGGGAACTGCTACAGTGCCTCTCTCCCTCCTCAGGTGACCCGCTTCGTTTCCATGCCCACTATATCGCTCAGTGCTGGGCGCCTGGGGACCCCATCCCACTCCAGGACCTGGTCTCTGCCGGCCGCCTGGGAACCAGTGTTAGGAAGACCTTGCTTCTCTGTTCTCCACAGCCTGATGGTAAGGTGGTCTACACCTCCCTGCAGTGGGCCAGCTTGCAGTGAACTCCAGAGACCTAGGGAGATGTAGCTGTGTCTGCAGCAAGAACCTTCCTAGCTCATCTCCATGTGGGAGGCTAAAACACCCTCCTACCTCTCTGTTTAGTTTTTGATTCCAGGTTCTTGAACACTACATCCTTTCTATGCTCCTCCCTGTGTCAAAGCACTTATTGGCTGTGTTGTTTTTGTAGTTACCTATTTCTAACTGTGAACTTCTTGAAAATGGGGACTGGATTTGATTCATCTGTTTTCTACAGGGCTTAGGTCCCAGGTGGTCTCAATAAACTTGTTGAATAAATGTGGAGTTTGTGATTTGAATCCTTATGACAATCCGGGGAAATGTGGGTGTTTTCATCTGCACATACAGATGAGAAAAAGGCCTGGAGGAGGGGAAATGACTTGCCTAAGCTCCTACAGAGCTAGTAAGTAACAGGGTTGGGCTTTAAAACTTGACCTTTCTGACTCCAAAGTCTGAGCTCTTCCCACTGCACTAAACGTCTTTTGAAAAGATTTGTACAAAATGTTTCAGATGCAGGGCCAGCCAGTGGCTCACGTGGGAGAGTGTGGTGCTGATAACACCAAGGCCACGGGTTTGGATCCATATATAGGGATGGCCGGTTAGCTCACTTGGGAGAGCGTGGTGCTGACAACACCAAGTCAAGGGTTAAGATCCCCTTACCAGTAATCTTTAAAAAAAGAAAAAAGTTTCAGATGCATGCAGAGGTTATAAATAAAAATACAGCATGAAGGAAAAAAGAAAGAGTGTTGTAGTGTCAGGACTAAAGTTCTGTCCTGAGAGTATGGACGAGAATGTCAGGAAGGACACTGGGGGCTTCTGGAATGCATTTTGTTTTTGTGGTCTGGGTGGTTGAGAATTTTTTTTTGTCGGCTGGCTAGTAGGGGGATCCGAACCCATGATCTTGGTGTTAGAAGGCTGTACTCAAACCAACTGAGCTAACTGGCCAGCCTTGAGAATTCTTGTGATACTGTACATTTATATTTTAGACTCTTGTATGTAATATTTCAGTTTTTACACAAGCTAAAACATATATATATATATATATATATAAAATATGCATTTATAAAACAAACCATTTACTCACCTGTTTAAGAAATTACTAGAACATTACCAGTATTCCAATATTTATACATCTATCTAAACAATATGTAGCTTTATTTTGTCACATAAATTTTGTTAACATAATACATTCACATGGTAAAAATTCTGGGGCCGAAAGTCTCTACCTCTTGTTCTACTATTTCTTCCCCTCAACTTTTCTTTCTTTCTTGCTCTTCTTTTTCTCTTGCCCTTTTCAATAAATGAACTTTATAGAATCTCAATTTCCTGTAAGTTTAGATTAATTTAAAATAGGACACTAACCCCTGCCCAGCTAACACTCTATTCTTTGCGCTTGTTTGATAATTGGCTTGTAATTATATTCTTCACCCTCTCTGTTCTCTCTACAACAATCTAGTTAGAAGTCTCACTGCCTATGTCACAGGTTGTTCCTCTCAAAAGTTCCTCATAGAAAACTACTGTGACTGGTGTCCTCACGTCCTGTCAGTCACCAAATCCTATACGCACTACCCTCAACATGCTGGAGATGCAGAATTTGGTCACTGCTCTTCACTGCCATGGCTCATTGGGATAACCTTAATAGCTTCCTAACTCACCTTCTTTCCACCATTGCCCCTCTATTGTCTGTTTTCAACAGAGCAGCTGTCATAATCAGAAAAGGGTAGTCAGACTATGTCACTCCTCTGTTTAAAACTCTGATAATTTCCAGTGTTAGAGTAAAAAGCCTGAGATTTCCCCCTACAGGTTCCTCATTACCTCTGACTTAGTCCATTCTCTTCCTTGCTAACTCTGCTTCCAAACCACTTCTATTTCATTGTCTTTGCACCTGCTACCTACAGTGCTCATTCTCTGGATGGCCACATAGTCTTGTCCCTCACTGCTGATTTTTCCTTCAATGTCACCTCAGTGAGGTCTTCCATAGGCACCCTACCTTAAAGTTTAACATCCCTCCTACATACCCCTTGGTTTATTTGCATTACCATTTGTCACTAACATGCTATAGATCTTTATTGCTTATCTAGAATGTAAGATCCATGAGGACAAGTAAGCTGGGTTTTTTTTTTTTTAAAAAAAACAGCTTTATTGAGGTATAATTCACTGGGTTTAAGTAAGCACAATTCATCAATTTTAAGTAGATTGTAGGGTTGTACAAGAATCACCATAATCCAATTTTAGAACATTTCCAGCATGCCAAAAAGATTTCTCATACCTATTTGCAATCATTCCCTGTTCCCATTTCCAGGCAAGCATTAATCTACTTTCTGTACCAATACCTTTGCTTTTGCTGGACATTTCATGTGAATGGAGCCACACATATGTGGTCTTTTGCATCTGGCTTCCTTCACATAATACATAATGTTTTTGAGGTTTATCCATGTTTTAGCATGCATGAGTTCTTTGCTACTTTTTATTGCTGAATATTCCATAGATATACCACATTTTGTTTATCCATTTGTCAGTTGATTGGCATTTGGGTTGCTTCCAGTTAAGGACAGGTGTTTTTGTTATTCCCTTGTTCATGCAATATCCCTACTTCCAAGAACAGTTCTTGGCATGTAGTAAGTACTCAGTCCATTATTGCTGAATGAATGAGCATGTTAACTACAATTTTTTGATCAAGACTGAGTGAGAGTATTTGGAACTTATAATTTTTCTTTCCATACTGCTTTCTAAGCATATTTTATATATACATACATTTATGATCCTTTTTTAACATAAATTGTAGCACACAATACATACTTCTGCAGATTGTTTTTCCAGTATATACAGACTTGTCTCACTTTTGCTTTTGGTTACGTAGTTCTGCATTGTATAGATGGGCTGCAATTAATTTTTATTACAGTTCTACAGAAGGAAAGGAATCCATTTCGCCAGGCATATCTGGCTGGTCTGTAGCAGCCCTTGGATGGGATCCCGGGTCTTTTTAACTCAAAAGCTAGTATTTCTTACCACTACATAATCTTGTGTTTTGTTGAGAGAGGGATTGCTGGAGGGCTGCAAGCAGAGGTGAAAGGGAGAGAGCATGAGGGGTTTGTGGAAAAGAAGCAGTCTCATGTCACTGGACTGTGCTGCTTCTGAAGAGGATCAGGGTGCAGCTAGATCATCATCATCATCACATGTTAAGCATCTGTATGCCAGTCTCTGGGCTGTTTTTCACTCTAAATCATCAAACCCTATGAGGAAAGTCCTTTCTCTTTTCCTCCATTTAGTGCACTTGAAGTGGCTAATTTGCCCAGGAGCAAGAGCTGGTAAGTAACAGCTGTTTCAAATCCAAGTCTTTTTTGATTTGAGAACCCATAGGCTCAACCACAGTTATAAAACCATTTCTATAATCACAAAGCACCTGCAATTGTGGAGCTTGAACTTCATCCTGAAGGCAGTGAGAACTTATGGAAGGGTTTTTTTCCTTCCCTTTTTTTTCCCATCTGATGAACAATAGTATGTTCAAAATACAGAAATAAAACATTGAAGACATACACAAAAACTAAAGGTCTTTTCTGTTCCCATCATCCCACCCCTCAAATGGATAAAAGGTATAAGTAGACAATTCATAGAAAAACAAATGCAAAACTTGCCAATAAATGAGAAAGATCCTTATCTTCCATGAGTACATAAAAGCAAATGTAAACAGTATCAATTTTCACCAGATTGATAAAAAAGAATGAAAATATCCAATGTTGGGAGGTAGGGATGTGGAAAAAAGGTACATAAATTTGGAGCAGTGTGTGCATGTAAAGGGTTGAGGAAAACCAAAAATACTCATGTTGTTTGACTTTGAATTTACATTTCTAGACCTTTGTTCTATAAAGACACTTCCAATCCTGTTACATGTATAAGAATGTACATATGCAGTATTATTTAAAAGAGAGAAAAATTGGAAGTGGCTTGAATGTCCATGATAGGTGGAGTGGTTAAATTAATATATCCATAGGAAGGTGAATTGGACACAGGGAGGAGGAGGCTACTGCTATACTCTGGGAGGGAGAGGATGAGGCCTGAGCTGGGGCCTGGCTCAAGAGGATCGATGGGGAGGAACAGGGCAAAGAGAGTCCAGAGGCAGGAGGGACCAGTGTTGATGGACCATGACCAGAAGGTCAGAGATGGGGCAGAAAGTGAGGACAATGTTTCAAAGTTTCACCCCTGGGTTACAGGGCAGATGATGAGGCCGTACCCTAGATAGAGAACCCCGAGAAGGGCAAAATTAGGGATAGATTAGGAGTTTACTCTGGGATGTAGAAAATTTAGAAGACTCTGAGATTTTGGTTGAGAATACTGGATTGGAAACAACTTTGTGAACGATAAGCATAAAGATGATAAATATAGTTATTCATACATTTGACTATTGACTATACTGAGACACTGATAAATAGGAAAGATGAGGTCCCTGCCCTCATATAGCTTTTTTTTTTTTTCTGGAAGCCAGTTAGTAAACAGAAAACAAAACTGAGCAAGGTAGTTTGTAAGATATAGAAGTGCAATGAAGAAATAATAATGATGATAGTGGCTCACACTAAGTGCTTTTTTTTGTATCACACACTATCCTAAGCCCTTTGCATAGATTACATCATTTAATACTTACAGTAAGCCTATGAGGTAGGTAGGCACTACTGTCATTCCCCTTTGCAGCTAGCAAATGGTGATGGCAAAAATGGAAGCCAGGTATGAGGATGGAGAATGAAGATGTGATAGAGAAAGGTGTGAGTGGGACTGCTTCTCTGAAGAGGTGATATTGAAGGCTGAGGCAGCAGCTGTATAGAGGAGTGGTGAAGAGCATGGGCAGAAAGTGAGGACAATGTTTCAAAGTTTCACCCCTGGGTTACAGGGCAGATGATGAGGCCGTACCCTAGATAGAGAACCCAGAGAAGGGCAAAATTAGGGATAGATTAGGAGTTTACTCTGGGATGTAGAAAATTTAGAAGACTCTGAGATTTTGGTTGAGAATACTGGATTGGAAACAACTTTGTGAACGATAAGCATAAAGATGATAAATATAGTTATTCATACATTTGACTATTGACTATACTGAGACACTGATAAATAGGAAAGATGAGGTCCCTGCCCTCATATAGCTTTTTTTTTTTTTCTGGAAGCCAGTTAGTAAACAGAAAACAAAACTGAGCAAGGTAGTTTGTAAGATATAGAAGTGCAATGAAGAAATAATAATGATGATAGTGGCTCACACTAAGTGCTTTTTTTTGTATCACACACTATCCTAAGCCC